CCCACGATGCTGTGAGTAGGCCGGAGCCGCGAGGCAAAACTGCATTTCAGAACCGATAGGAATACGTTTTGGGAAGGAATACAAAGGGAAATCGAGCAGAAATGTGAGGCCTACTCATAGAATTTTAGAAAATTCCAGTAATAATCCTTAATCACCATAAATGAAATGCTGTGGTTGAGAGAAGTCCTTATTCAAGATCTACTGTTAATCTCGAAACCCTGCTTAAAAACTAAAATATAATATTTACTACTACTCATAATACTACTTATATTGCTGGTGCCATTTCTACTGCCTCCCGTGTTTACAGTGCGATTGTCATTATTCTTGAATTTTCTTCAAATTTTAGCTATAATATGGTTGTAAGTATGATACCCAGTTCTGATGATGCCTGTTATACGACCGGAATCGAAGGAGATTACCTCGGAAATAGCGTCACTAAGGCTATTACGATAAGACCGATTGATTGCTGATAAAAAAGAGTCAGCCGTCGTTTTCTGGTGAGATTGACCTTAGAATCTTTTTAACAAGCACTTCCACTTGAAATGGAAGTAAGCTCATCAATTATTAAACAAGAAATTCCTCGAAACTCAACTTTTCTTTGCACTATTTCCTTGGCCGGCTTGATATCTGTAGCTAGTCACCGCATCATTCGCCCAGTTGTAGGCTCGATTTGCCCCAGGGCAAACTGGGAACTTGTGGACATATACATGCCCGTCTCTTTCCTATTCGCCGCGTGCGGTATTTGGACGAAGAGAGCAAATGTGACTATTATCATTCGGTTTGAGTAGGTATCTAAACTTCGAGTACATCCTTACTAAGTGCTGTATCACACTATTTCGCATGAGGGGATAAAAGACTGATAGTAAACTTTTTCCACAATCATTTAAAAAGCAATGCTGTTTGAATAAAAATGGAAATTAAAGGCCTACTCAAATGCTTGTGGGAAATTCCATTATCAGTTTTTTATGAAATTATGTAAACTAAGCTAAATACAGTTTATGTTGCCACTCCTGCCGGCAGCATGTGGAGCCTGCTTCGTGTTGTTAGCATCAATTCAGTTAGGCCGCTTTATGATGCTCTGTTTAATTCAGTCATTCACGCCCCTTCGCGCTTCGGACAGACGGAGAATTTGATTTTCTATCTTCATGGGGATAGTAAAGCACATGCATGCTTCTACAAGTTCTGTGCTGCCTATCGCAGACATAGTCAGCGATTTTTGGTTTACAAGCAGAGTTTCGAGACTATCAGCAAATCAGTTTTATTAGATGTATTCACCCTATTTCGTTGAAAATGATGGAGCAAGTGGTAGCTCAATGTTTCCACATTAAATTTCACATTCAGAATGGACTATAAATATATAGAATGTATGAAGACCAAGATGTTGTCGCCTTTTTTATGGTCGCAGCCTCCTTTCGATTTACAGATGTGGGTTGACTTGTTTGTCGCAACTTGGTCTTGTTGTCAGGGTGACTATGTAGAACGCACCTGGTTCGAAGTCGTCTGCCATTGTAGTTGTCATGATTCCCAGCATCTGACAGTAGACTTGATACATTCTCAAACGTTTCGCCGGCATCGTGGTCGGCATCATCAGTGAGTTTTGCCATTCTCCGCACCAAGCTACGAACTCGTGATAGTGTAACTGTTTTCGGCAGAACGGTTGCCGAGGGATTGACTTCACTTGTCTCTTCGACGAGTTCGTAGATTGGTGCGGAGAATGGCAAAGCTCACTGATGATGCCGACTACGATGCCGGCGAAAC